TGGAGTGATACGTCATATCCAACAGATTACTGAGGAAAGCGGTCTTGGGCCTTGGAGACCCGAGTTCGAAGACCCCACGAGCACAAGGATGGCCAAATCGATGTATTGGATGCCATGAAGGTTCTGGACCTACGGATCCCTGTGCCTATTCCCTACCTTCTGACCATCTCAGAGGCAGGCAATGAAAAACTGATTGAGCGATGCCTAAAAAAACGCTCACGGTTCGAGGAAAGCCGAAGGGGTAAGAAATTAATTATAAATGATCGACCGGTTGCTGTCGAGGTACAACCATTGACCTGAAGAACTCACGAGGCAAACCAGGTCGGAATGATCCAAGCCGCAGATCTACAGCCGGAGAAACCCGAGGTGCTCCTTCGGGCTTACCCGATTACCTGGAAGAGTGTCAAGTGTGACTGCGAGGTCTGAGGAAGTCCCTCGACCGCCATCCTTGATTATGGATCGTCGGCGGTAGCCATCCCTTGGGGGTTGATGAAGCACTTGGGTCGGGAGGGACAGGTTCAGTACCTCCATTCGGATGAGTTGCATGTGTCTGCTACGAAGGACAACATTCATCGTAAAGGGCGAATTACGAATGTACCTATATGGGTCGGACGGGTGCATTGTCTGTGTGACGCGATTATATTGGATGTGCAGCCGTATGATTTGCTGCTAGGAATCCCGTGGTAGGCGGTGGTAGGAGCGCAAATGCATTTTGACAACTCTGAGGTGGCGCTCACATCGGCCCACCCCAACCTCAAACGATACCAATGAGTCCGACTGTACGTGTACACACACAACCTGCCCCTTGCATTTCTACTGAGGCCCGCAGGATTAACATGATTCGATGGTTGTCGATGGGCGAAAAAAGGTCCACAATAGAAACGGAGGATTCAGACGAACCCGACCGATATTCGATCAGAGTTCAAGACTGGTTCCGCCAACCTCGGCGGCCGGAACCCACAAAGATTATCCAGAGCGAGTGTAGCTGGTGTCAAATGTTCTCCTCTACCATGAAAGGAGAGCCTTTGCTGAGGGTATCGCGAATAGTCGACTTCTCGGAACCCCCTGCGTCCCTGTATCTCAGAACATACCCCCTCCCGGAGAGATTTACCGAGTTAAGGGGGCTATGTGATCTGTCCTTTAAGCTTCCGCGATCCCTACTTACAGACGCTAAGGCCGCGTTGCTTCTGAAAGAGGGGGTGGCGTTTCAACCCAGGACCCCTGAACACGCATGGGGTCTGAGGGAACTCTTGCAAGCGTTTTCAGTAGAACCCTCAGTCGAAGCCGAAATCGATGACAGTGGAACAGTGAGGGAACCGATAAGCCCGGAGGACAGTCAGCTCATAGCCACCGTACTCTTGGAAAAAACCGACAACTCCTTGTTCGGGGCCTCCCCGAGGCGGTCAGTATCCAGGATCATGATATAGAGTTGATGCACTTGATAGAACATGTGATTGATACCGGGGACCACGCGGTCCATGCCCCAATACACTGTCGACCGTACCGTTATTCCTTAAAGGAACGCCAATTAGCCTTGGATAGGTTACGAAAGTTTGAGCGTCTAGGATGGGTGGAACCCTCCCTTGGCCCCTGGTCGTTTCGTATGGTCCTCGTTCCAAAACGAAACAGGAAAATCCGCGTTTGTATTGACTATCGAAAATTAAATGCTATTACCACCAAAGATGTCTACCCGCTGCCCCGTATCAACGACCTCTTGGACGCCATCGGTTCCACCCGAGTCTTCTCGAAGTTCGATATCCGACACGGTTTCCACCATGTCGCGGTCCAACGCAAGACAAGCCCAAAACGACCTTCGTCTTATTCGAAGGCACGTGGGAGTGGATTAGATGTCCCAGGGTAATATGCAACGCCCCCGCGACATTCCAACGGGCCATGAATATGGGCTTTGCAGAATTTGTTAACAAAACCCGCCTGACACAACCCATGATAAATTTTTGTGTGATTTTGTATATGGACGATATCTTGGTCTTTTCTAAAACTCACGAGTACCATGTGGAACACGTCGAGTGGGTTTTGAATGCGCTGAAATATGCGGGGTTCAAAGTGGCTTTGGAGAAAAGCGAGTTCTTCCTATCGGAAATTTCCTTCTTAGGGTACAACGTCACGGTGGATGGCCTGAAGCTGGAGCCAAGGAAGGTAGCGGTCGCACAAGAGGCCCCAGCTCCGGTCACGCTCACTCAAGTTTAAGCCTTCCTAGGGATGGCATCTTACTATCGATGATTCATTCAGGGATTTGTCTGTATCACTAAGCCTCTGACAAATCTGTTGAAGGAGGAACAGTTGGTATGGACGCCAGAATGCGAGACGACTTTTCGGGCGCTCAAAAAGGCCTGACCACCGTGCCCATCCGCTGCACACCGATTCACATGCAATATCGGCGGTGCTGACTCAACAGGGAATAGACGGGAAGGAGCACGTCATTGAGTACGCCTCGAAGACACTGAGCCAGACGCAATGGAACTACGAGTCTTGCAAGGGCGGATGCTTGGCGGTGGTGTGGGGAATCCAACATTTTCGACCGTATATCCACGGTCAGAAGTTTGTGCTCGTAACGAATCATCAGCCGTTGTTGTCCTTGTAAAGTCACACGGATTATACGGGAACCTTGGGAAGGTGGGCAGTGAGGCTGCAAGACTACGATTTCGACATTCGCTATCGCGCTACCAAGCAGCATGGAAATGCGGATGGAATGACCCGCCTCCAGCCATCGAAGAAGTGCTCGGCGAACGAGCGACTCATTTCGTGGAAGCCTGCCTCGCCTGCGACGAAGCCTCGCTACGGGGAGGTGCACGTCCTCTGCAAGGGAACTATCGAGATACGAGATGGCGATCTCCCCTGAAGTGGCAACTAACCCTTCGTCTTTTCCATGTTCTTCGACCCACTCATCTGTCCCCGACTCTCCTTCTAGCCCGTTTCTAAACACTTGCTTCTTTTGCGCATTGCCTATGATATCAGATCGGGGAGATTCTCACCCGTGAAGGCCTAGTTTTGTCTCATGGGTACAATGTAGCCAATGCTGCGTGATCCGGTCCCACGGGTGTTGCATTAGGTACCGGAGCGAGAAGAGGTGGGTTTGTCTCGACTGTCGAACGAACCAAGTACCCAGGGAGAAACGGTACTTAGAGGCTAGGACGGAGGACGGATTTTCGCCAAGTGCCCGCAGAGTAGCGGTCTGGACGGACCTCCTACTGTTAAGGAGACTACAAGGGGACCCGCTGGCGGAGCTTACATAGGCGGAACGTCGGCGAGTCACGAAACGGGCTCATGATTATCGCTGGTAGGGATCTGCCCTGCAAAAACGAAAAGATAATAATGATAGCAGGTCTAGCTGGCTGACAGTTCCACACCCTCGCGCTAGGTTCGATTGGACACGAGCTGCGTACGAAGAGGATGCGGTCCATTTCACGGTCAAATACACGGAAAAAGCCATTGAGAAAAACGGATGGTACTGGTCGAGAATTCGGGAAGATGTCAGATACATCGTCCGGAATTGCTCGGCCTACGCGACAGATAAGGCGTCGATACAGATGCCCCAAACAATGGTATCGACTAGGGTAGAACGCCCCTTTCAGCGAGTTAGCATCGATACGACGGATATCAACGTACCGAGAGGTCCTGTCAATCAAGGTGAGCTCAACGTCCTTCTAGTGGCTGTCGATCATTTTTCCAAGTGGATTGAGGCCTATCCTATGACCAGTCGGAATTCGTTAGAGGTAGCCTGGTATATTAACTGCTTTCTATGTACGCACCTTGATGTAGAGGAGGTACACATGGATAATGGGTCTAAATTCCATTGCCAAGGGGAGGTGGAGCAACATCTCGTAAGGGCTGTCGTTAGGATTTCATACTCACCGGGGCACTGGCCACAGGCCAATGGGCTAGTAGAGAACGCTAACCGAATGATTAAGACTTCCCTTAGACGAAATATTATTGCGGGAGATACCAGGCCCTTGCCCGTCGTAGTCGATCATATCTTGGCCGTCTATCGGGCTACCCCCCACGGTAGTACAGGGGTGTCCCCATTTCAACTAAGGACCAACAGTGTCCCCCATGTGCAGCTGTCACCTCTAGTGGGTATTGAAGTTAGAGCGAGCCGAGCTCAACACCGAGACAAGGCCCAACATTATATGGACTTGATGGCTAGCACCTACCCCGCGTTAGCCCGAAGGCGACATAAGGTCGTGGATCTGATACATAAACGACAGATCTGAGATTATGAGTGCCGACATGCATCTGCAAGCCCACTGACCCGCTATAAGATTGGGGATCTGGTGTAGGTATGGAAATCCGCGCGCTCCTCCAAGATCCATCCTCATTACATTAGCATTTACAAGGTGATGAAAGTTGGCGCCCAAGGCCAACACTCCGTGAGACTGGTCCCCAGACATAGTACGCAAGCTAGACCGCTGACTCGCCACACTGCTGCCCTTCGTCCATTTCGGCCATTGTTGGACCACGAGTGGACCCTTGCCCCGTCCATGCCTTCCTCTTCATCTTCCTCCTCCTCCCCTGCTTCTTCTTCCTCTCTCCAAATCGCTTCGCCCTTTTGTGTTGAGATCCGGATCGCACAGGATGAGCCATCGCCAGCAGGAGCATGAGCCGATCGAACATTTTAGGCACCGATCGTGGATCACTTGTTACGACATAGGTTTAATGATGATCAGCAACTGCGGTACGACGTCCAGCAAGTGAATGTACCAGGGCCTAGCATTGCTCCTGTGTGAGCAGGTGATATATGAGGGGGTGTATGTGGACGTAAAGCAGCTGCCTGGTCGGGAGTTGACAAGGGTGTTCATGGAGTTCTGCGCGCTTTGGGTGGTGGCCAACTTCGTACAGAGCGTCGCCACTTTCATGACAGGCGATTTGACGCTCTTGGTGGAGCGGCATCGGGAACCTGTGTAGACTTTTCAGCGGGATAACGAGGTGCAAGTAGCAAGATCGGTCGCTCGAGTGCGGGGACGGGGTAGCCATCACTTCACGGCTTATGAACCACTGCTGCGACGGGCGCTAGACGACCCACTAGCACTAGTGCCTCAGCTACCCGCACTCTTCCCTCCCGCTGACCCCCTCAACATCCAAGCCATTCCCCTTCCCTCATACTAAATGTCTCCCTTCTTCTCTTACACCACCCTTCCCTACCAACTCACAGAGAGTCCCTACCCCATGTGCAACTTCTCAGAGTATCTGGTGGAGCTGGTTGACGTAGAGCCCTTGCCGTTTGCCGACGAAGACGTATGGGAGCTACATCAGGCGTTGTATCGATCGGTGGTGCTGGGCATGTTCCGGTTCTATGTGGAACACGACGACCACAACATCGGCGAGCACTTGCTCGCATACTACGTAATTTCGAGACCCAAGCAGGAGCATAAGGAGGGGATGGTGGCACTAAATCCGTTCGGGAAGATCGGAAGAAACAGGCCGGGATTGTTGGAGCTCATCCACATTGAGCTACTGTCCATCGCACAAGTGATTGCCAGCGAAGAAGGAGATCTCCAACCCCGGTTGAGGACAGCATCAACTCTGCGGAGGACGTACCACGAGGTGGTCATAGCAGACTACCTTGCGCGGACGGGAGAAAAGGTGGTGGACTTCAGTGACGGGAAACCGCTGCGGCCTCCCTCGTCCTATCGAAGACCGGCAGCCCCGAAGACCCCTAGGAAGGCTCTCAAGAAGAGACGCCGCCAGCCATCGCCGGAAGCACAAGGGAGCCGAGGAGGACCTGGGGAAGAAGAAATCCCCGGCAGAGGTCCCGTCCCGGAGAGCAAAGCCACACCGATCAAGGGACCTCTGCCAGGGGAAGAAGCCAGAACTAGCGGATCGCAAGTACGTAGGAGACACCCAAAGCAGATATCGCCCTCGCCACTTCTTCCCGACCTCAATCTCGATGGAGCCGGCCCATCCGCACCAGTAGGAGGAGGAGGAATGGGAGGAGTACCATACCTCACATCTAGACCCCCCATCCTCGCAGGACCTTTCTGTTTCCGCCAGCCACCCCGGGGTGCCCCGGTTATTGACCTTAGCAGTTCCTCCGAGCTGGACAGTCCACCCGACAGACATCGAGTTCATGGTGGAGCCTGCAACAATCAAGCTCAAGGCGATCGAGGGGGCCACATGTCCTGATCCCGCATGGGAGCCGTTTCTACAACTATCGTTTGAAGAATGTGTGGCAACCAGAATGGTGGGGATGCTCATCTACGAAGCCGGCAGTCGGCCGAACATCATGTACCACTTCCTCATCCTCGCGGAACTCAGGAGGGAGCGGAGGCCGTATATCGAGACCCATTTAGTGATGACGGGTCCCGGGAACCACCCGGTGTGACGACGAGTCGTACGGGCCGTTGCTGATCTGGCGCCATGTGTCTCATCGCACGCGCTGGGGGCCTTTCTTTACCCCTCCTTCGTTCAACACCACGTCAACAAATTGGACGTGCCGACGACTCCCGCTGTGTTGGCAACCTTTCTCCCCTCTCTTCCTCCCCCTCTCAACCCTGAGATCGACCACTTCCTCTGAACCTTTCCTTCCATCTCTTCTTGATAAAAAAGGTCGCACGTCAACACGCGCTGTAAAAAAAAAATAAAAAAATAAAAAGATTTTTGGTAAAATATATTTTTGATGATGATCGGTTTTGTACCGATCGGGCCAGCTGACGATGAAGAAACCGCCCGATCAGCTGTACAATAGGGGGACAAAACGTCAGCAATGCGGAATGCATCGGGGTAGATTAGGCGATGATCCAAGCCACCTGACGATGAAGAGGCCGCCCCGATCCTCAGAGTAATTATAACACCTATACAACAGCCAGGAGACTGCTGATTTTTTGGAACCCCTTGCGCATCACAGATGTGATAAGCGAGGATTCGTACTCAGCGGCTTCCCGTACCCTCAAGGGAAAACCCACGTAAAGCCTCGAAGTACGAGTTCTAGGTGATTGGAAAAAACGGGGTAATATTGTAGAAAAGCATGGGTGGTCACTTTGAGGAATGATCCTACACTTCTAGAATCGGACTGGGTAGCGGTAAGAAAGATAAAGGGCCCTCTTGACATTGGTAATATTGTAGAAACCGGCCCGAGGGGACAACAGTAAACCTATTAAGGCTCCACAAGAATGGCTCTCTGTTAAGTCGTACCGCGGATTGAACGGAATTGTATGGTAAGGAGGATCTCTACCGCATCTGGGTGCTCTAACCCTCATCAAGTACGAGATGGTTGACCCATCACCCAGGCCTGCCGATACCCAAACCTCACGTTGGACTCAGAGAATTGGATGTGGAAGATGGGCGAATCCAAGTAAGCGCGCACACTCCAATCCTTGACAGTAAAGACAACCGATTGAATGCTTAGAACCCGGAGCGATCTGCAAGCAATAGTCGGGGACAGATGACCGAGACACCTCAACATACACAAAGACAACCTTCGTAGGGTCAAGTGGTTATGGGGTATGAAGGACCGCTTGACCAAATTCGCCTCCTTACAGTGCCAGATAATCTGTCAGTGTCGTGTCGGGGCGCTAATCCATTCATCGTTGATTGGTGGGCGTCCCTCGGTGGTCATGAAAACCCCAAAAATTCTTATTGGGGTCTCTAAAGACATCCATTTAATACGTGGTGACTCAGGGGGGCGTCCCCCTTGATAATGAATCCACCATCCTTGAGTTTTGCTCCCCCAGTTGACTGTCATGTCGGAAACCTTGGCAAATTTTTCCATCATTTGCTGGATTTCCTCCACGTTGTTGTGTGTGGCCTCTGCCAAGATAGTGAGATCATCCGCAAAAAAGGAGCACACCGGGATTGCCTCCCGCCGGGATGTGTGTGACTCGGATTCTGGTAATGTTCTTATTTACCCGGAGGTTGGCGGCTAGTGCTTCCATGATGACAAAAAATAGGAAGGGGGCAATTGGGTTCCTCTGGCGGACCGAACGTTCTAGGCGTAGGGGTGGTGTCATGCACCCATTAAGTTGAATGTAGGTGGTTGCATTCTGGTGCAGGATCTGAACCCAGCGTCTGAAGTCCGGTCCAAACTTCACTTTTTCCAGGCATTTATCTAAGAACAACCAGTCTACGTGATTGTAAGTCTTTCCGAAGTTGATAACAACAGAAAAAATCCCCAGAATTAAATAATCATTCTAGAGTAAAATTACATTCTAAATTTTAAATTTTCATTCCATCTTAAAAAATGTCATTCCAATTTTAAAATTTTCCGTCTTACTTGAAAACTTTCGTTTCAAGAATCGGGTATCCCTTCTGATTTGAACTGCATGCGAGAGATGGAATGAAAGTCTGGATGAGTTCATGAAATATTTTAATTGGACTGCTATTCTAAGTAAGGATTTCCAGTCATAAATAAGTTAATCCAATCTAAATTAGACGATATTTGTTACAGTAGAATGAAAGTTTAATTAAAACATTTCATAAACTCGTTCAGATTTTCATTCCATCTTGAACAAATAGATGTAGTTGGAAGAGAAAACTCATATTTAAACGGGAAATTATCAAATTAAATTGGAAATTTTAGAATTGGACAAACATTAGAATAATAATTTATAAATATGAAGGATTTTTTTTTATGGAATGTTTTTTCAACTTTTATTTCTCATGGGAATTTTTCTGTTGAAAGATCAGCGCTGCGTTCTGCCGAGAGTGTCTCGTGAGTTGGAATAACTCATGGATTGAAATAATATTATCTTGTATATTCCTGTTCTCCATAAAGCCGGTTTGAGAGAGATGGATGATGTCTTCCATTACAGGGATCATTCTGTTAGCTAAGGCTTTAGGTAACATTTTATATATTATTGTGAGAAGTGTGATAGGGCGGTGATTTTCAATATCTATTTTATCCCCTTTTTTATATAGGAAGGTCAATACTCCTTGACCCACTCTTTCACCTATCTCGCCCGTGAGCCATACTTCTTTATAGAAGTCCATGAGGTCCTGACTCAGGAAGTCCCATGTGGTCTCTCAAAATTCTTTGGGGAAGCCATCAATCCCCGATGCCTTTTCCTCCTTCATTTGCAGGAGGGCGGTCCAGATTTCCTGCTTGGAGATTGGGGCCTCTAAAGAATCATGCTGTTTAGATGTCAATGACTTATTTACTGGTTCCAAAAATTGTTTTAGTTAATGATCGTAGTACCGTGAGTCTGATCTGTCAACGTGTGAGGCGAAAAGGTCTTTGTAGAAGTCATATGTTATCTTGGTCGGTTTGGGAGAGATGGATGATGTCTTCCATTACATGGATCATTCTATTAGCTAAGACTTTAGACAACATTTTCTATATATTACTGTGAGAAGTGTGATAGGGCGGTAGTTTCTAATATCTATTTTATCCCCAGACCCCACTCTTTCACCCATCTCGCCCGTGAGCCATACTTCTTTATAGAAGTCCATGAGGTCCTGACTCAGGAAGTCGCATGTGGTCTTCCATAATTCTTTGGGGAAGCCATCAATCCCCGATGCCTTTTCCTCCTTCATTTGCAGGAAGGCGGTCCAGATTTCCTGCTTGGAGATTGGGGCCTCTAAAGAATCACGCTGTTCAGATGTCAATGACTTATTTAGTGGTTCCAAAAATTCTTTTAGTTAACGATCGTAGTACCGTAAGTCTGATCTGTCAACGTACGAGGCGAAAAGGTCTTTGTAGAAGTCATATGTTATCTTGGTGCAACGAGCAGTGAACACGGCCGGATCCGATTCCATGGCTTGTGGTTCGTAGAGCACCTCGATCGTTGTTCTTTTGAAATGTGGTCTGGCTAGGCTGAAGAAGTAAGCATTCATCACTCCTTCGGTCGAGAGTCTGAATAGCCTTGCCCTTATCTGGGCTCCCTGCCATCGATAATGTGCATGCTTCAAGAGCCGAGCTTTTAAATCTAGTATTTGAGTTTGTAATTCGTCGGAGGTTGGTTCCTGCCCTTGCGAACATTGTTTCTGTTCAGCGTCCATGAGGTTTTGCATTATCGTGATTTCTTGTTGGTATCGCTGTGCAACTATATATTTAGAATATTCGTTGCATTTTTTTGCCAAAAAAAACAATCCGTTGTTAAACCATGCAATTTGAGAGTCTTGTTGGGAGCGGTGATCCTTCCAGAAGTTCCAAACCTGTTGTAGGTACCTCTGGAAGGATTTAGACTGGAGCAGGGAAGTGTTGAGTTTATAGTAGCCGGCCCCCTGATCTGGTCGTTTCCGGAAGGTCCAGACTGCCATGCACATCCTGTGGTCCAGGCCTGGGCTGCCAAGGTAAGCCCTCCGCCCAAGTCTTCGGACACAAGGATTAGATCTATTCTAAATTTTGACAGTCTGTCGGGGTGATTGTTTCACAAACAAGTAAATACCTTTTCGGTCGGGTGGCTACGCCTAAAGGTGTCAAAACTGAGAGGGTGGTACATAAATCCCTCAGCATCCTCTCGTCTTCCTCTGCGTTGTGTGCGGTAGTAGGAGGGGTTCTACAACGGTCCAGCCATCTGTCTGGTGCGGCATTGAAATCTCCTGCTAAGATTACCGGAGTATCTGGGGTGGGATCATTTCGATATTTTCGAAAAAAAACCCTTCTTTCTCGGGGAGTGTTAGAAGCGTAGATGAATACAATGCATACTATTTCTAACTCCAGCATGCCCAACATTTTAACCCATCGTCCTTCCACCTTATCTTGTTCCCAGTTGAGTATTTCAAAGTGTGATTCGGGCGGAATCCATATAGCTACCCCGACACTCCTTGGAAGAGGGGCAAAAACTTGGTATCCTTGAAATGGTCAAACTCGCTTGTGCGCCCTGTGGTGTTCTGGTATGTCCATTAAGTGGGTTTCTTGGACGCAAATTATGTCCGACCATGTTCTTCCCCCCACCCCCCGCATTAGGTCCCACAACGCATTATTTTTTTCCGGGTTGCAGGATGCTAGACCGTTTACATTAATCGATCGAATATCAAGATCTGCCTGCTGAAGAGTGTGTTTCCACTTTTTGTTTTTACCATATACCACTTCCACCCAGTCCATTATAGAACGTGTGTTCCCTTATCCTTCCCACTATTTGGTTTGAAACGGTGACCAATCCTGTGCTTCCCAGTCTACTCCCCTGTTAAGAATGTTCTTCCTCAGTATTGTGCATATACAGGTGAGTAGGTCGTCCGTCGACCAAATGTTACTAGGTTTAATTTTCCGTTGTT